TCATTGTTGTTTGGCGGGTCCGGGCTGGGGATTCGAACCCGCCACCTTAGGTGTACGTGGCTGGCGCCTTAGCTGGTTGAGCTATAGGCGCCGAGCCAAGAAACATTTTTTTAAAAAAAGAAAAGATACCATAAATCAAGAGAGTTATGAATGTAACACCATTGAAATTATTTTCTGAGCACCTGCTATTACTACAAAAATCTACCGGGGGAAAAAACCTTGTAGTGTTTTTTAATTTTCAAATACTTCATTGTTTCATTGGAATTCCATTGGATAACACAGCAAGTATGAAAATGATTATATCTAATACATGAAAACCATTTATGCATAAAGAACAATCTGCCCTAATGTCATCCAGTGTACTGGTAAGACTTAGGATTAGAACTCAGGTCCTATTTCTAATTCTTTATCCTACCCACCTTCCCTTTAAGGCCTTGCCAAAACAGTCATATGTTGCTTAAGGATGGGGATATATTCTGAAAAATGCATCGTTAGGCAATTTTGTTGTTGTGCATACTGTTGTTTAGGAGCTGTTTGTGTATTAACTTATTAACTCTTTAATCTGTAATATTTTGTGTGTTTAGCCAAGTTATTTGCCTTTTGATTTTATTTATAGTGTTTTTTAACATAGAATCCAAAAATTATATTTTTTAGCTGCTATGTCAGTAAAAGAAATCCTTCAAAGTTTAGTTGATGATGGTATGGTGGACTGTGAGAGGATTGGAACTTCTAATTATTATTGGGCTTTTCCAAGTAAAGCTCTTCATGCAAGGAAACGTAAGTTGGAGATTCTGGAATCTCAGGTAAGACACCATAGTTAAAAACAATAAATTTGCTTTGTAACAAAGATTTGTTTTGCTTAATCCTCTTTACTTAGTGGTTTTTCTTAAAATTTTAGCATGCGTTACCTGACTAAAAAGCCTAAAGATAATCAATGAATTTTTACAATTTTTTAAATTTACTTTTTGTTTTTTGAGACAGTCTTACTCTTTTGCTCCAGGCTAGAGTATGGTGGTGTCACAGTTCACAGCAATCTCAAACTCATGGGCTTAAGCAGTCTGCTTGCCTCAGCCTCCTGAGTAGCTAGGACTACAGGTGCCCACCACAGCGCCAAGTTAGTTTTTATTTTTAGTAGAGACACGGTCTCGAACTCCTGAGCATAAGCAATCCACCTGCCTCATCTCCCAGAGTGCTAGGATTACAGGTGTGAGCCACTGCACCCAGCCAATTAACTTTTTTTTGAGACAGAATCTCACTGTGTCTCCCTTGGTAGAGTGCCATGGCATCATAGCTCACAACAACCTCAAACTCTTGGGCTTAAGTGATTTTCTTGCCTCAGCCTCCCAAGTAGCTGGAATTATAGGCGCCTGCCACAATGCCCGGCTATTTTTGTTGTTGTAGTTGCCATTGTTGTTTGGTAGGCCCGGGCTGGGTTCAAACCCACCAGCCTTGGCACCCTAGCTGCTGAGCTATAGGTGCCAAGCCCAATGCATTTTTTTTTTGAGACAGAGCCTTGAGCTGTCACCCTGGGTAGAGTGCAGTGGCGTCACAGCTCACAGCAACCTCCAACTCCTGGGCTTCAGGGATTCTCTTGCCTCAGCCTCCCAAATAGCTGGGACTACAGGCACCTACCACAACGCCCAGCTATTTTTTGGCTGTAGTTGTCATTGTTGTTTGGCAGGCCTGGACTGGATTCGAACCTACCAGCTGTGATAGATGTGGCTGGTGCCTTAGCCACTTGAAGTATAGGCGCGGAGCCTGAATTTTTTTCTTTTTTTTTTTTTTTTTTGAGACAGAGCCTCAAGCTGTCCTCCTGGGTGGAGTGCCGTGGCATTACAGCTCACAGCAACCTCCAACTCCTGGGCTCAAGCGAGTCTCCTGCCTCCGCCTCCCAAGTAGCTGGGACCACAGGCGCCCGCCACAGCGCCCGGCTATTTTTTGGTTGAGCCGTCATTGTTGTTTTGGCGGGTCTGGGCTGGGGATTCGAACCCGCCACCTCAGGTGTACGTGGCTGGCGCCTTAGCCGGTTGAGCTATAGGCGCCGAGCCCTGAATTTTTTTCTTAAAGCAGTTTTAGGTTTACAGAAAATCTGATGAGAAAGCACTGAGAGTTCCCAAATGTGTGCCCCTCCTCCTTCACTGTGCACACAATTTCCCCTTTTGCTTACATCCTGTTTTAGTGTGGTACTTTGGTTAGAATTAATGAGCCAATATTGATACCTTGTTATTAATGTAAGTCTGTAGTTTACCTTAGGGTTCAATCCTGCTGTTGTACATTTTGTGGGGTTTGATAAAAGCATGATGACATGTAATCACAATTATAGTATCACATAGAACAGTTTCACTGGCCTAAAAGTCCTCTGTGCTTAACCTGTTTATTCCTCCATCCTCTCAATCCCTGGCAACCACTCATCTTTTTACTGTCTGTTTAGTTTCGACTTTTCCTGTCATACAGGAATCATATGCTATGTAGCTTTTCCAGAGTAGCTTTTTTCACTCAATATACATTTAAGATTTCTCCATGTCTTTCGGCGATTTATGAGTCCATTACTTTTTATCATTGAATAATATTCTGTCACATGAGTATACCACAGTTGGTTTATCCATGGAGCTATTGAAGAACACCTGGGTTGCCTCCAAGTTTTGACAGTATTAGTAAAGGTGGTATATTCATATGTAGATTTTTCTATAGATGTAGATATTTTATATAGATATCGATAGATAACAACTCATTTGGGTAAATACCAAGGGGTTTGATAGCTTGATCATGTGGTAAGCATATGTATGTTTAGTTTTAAAGAAGCCACCAAACTGTCTCCTAAAGTGACTATACCATTTTTGCGTTCCCAACAATAATAGATGGAGTTCCTGTTACTCCACGACATTGTCAGCATTTGGTGTTGTTAGTGGTTTGAATTTTAGCCATTCTGATAAGTGTGTAGTGGTATCTTGTTATTTTAACTTGAAATTCTCTAATGACATAAGATGTGAAACGTTATTTTCACAAGTTTTTTTTTGACCTGTATGAAAGAGGGATTTACATTTTGCCCACTTTTAATTGAATTTTTTTTGCTAGTTGTTGCATTTTAACAGTTCTTTATGTATTTTGAACACCTGTCCTTTATCAGATATTTTTTTCAAAGATTTTCTCTCAGTCTGTGGCTTGTCTTTTTATTATCATCATGAGTGTCACAGAGCAAACATTTTCAATTTTAATGAAGTCTAGTTTCTCAATTTTTTCTTTTACTAATTGTTCTTTTGGTGTTGTAGTTAAGAAGTGATGGCCAAACCCAAAGTCATCAATGTTTTCTCCTGTTACAGTTTCAGGAATTTCATAGTTTTGCATTTTACATTTAGGTGTATTATCCATTTGAGTTAATTTTTGTAAAAATGGAAGGTCTGTATCTAAATTCATTTTTTTATATATAGGATGTCCAGAGTGATTATATTTTAATAGAATTTATTTCCTTTGTAATCCTAGGTGTTCTGTTTTATGGACTTAAAAACATTATTTCAAGAAAGAGTAGTAATTTGTTCAGCTGGAGTTTAAGAGTGGTAAACACTCACCATCTTTGAAAATGTCTAATTTACCATCACTTTTTTTTTAAAGGTTAAAAATAGCAACTTTATTGTGAAGACTAAAATGATAATATGCTAACTCAAGCAGATAGGTTGTCCAAGGGAGTACTTGAAAATTCACTTTCTGATGGTCTCAAAGTTATTAACTAAAAATGAGATCTATAAATGTAGAAAGGAGAGTTTTATTCCTGTATAGCACATAAATCCATACTCAGGGGTGGAAATGAATGCTGAAATGTATTACAATTAAGTCCTATACCCCCGAAGGTTAATCAGGGGTATGAAGACACTCAAACACATAACAGTCCATAGCTGATGGTCTCTCAGGAGGAATGTTATTATTATTTTTTTAATATTTTTATTTTTATTTTTTGAGACCAAGTCTTGCCCTTGGTAGACATGGTGTCACAGCTCACAGCAACTTCAAACTTGGGCTTAAGTGATTCTCTTGCCTCATTCTCCCAGGTAGCTAAGACTATAGGCACCCGCTGCAATGCCCGACTTTTTGTTGTAGTTGTCACTGTTGTTTAGCTGGCCTGGGTCGGGTTTGAACCCGCCAGCCTCAGTGCATGTGGTTGGCGCTATAACCACTGTGCTATAGGCACCAGTCCCAGCTATCTTTTTGTTGTAGTTGTCGTCATTTAGCAGGCCCAGGCTGGGTTCAGATCCTCCAGCCCCGGTGCATGTGGCCAGTACCCTAACCTCTGAGTACAGGTGCAGAGCCAGGAGTAATATTATTGAATCAGTCCCTTGTTCAATTAAAGCTGTAGTTACAGCTGTGGTATAGGTAGGGAGTCTGGTATTGGATGACTTGCAATTGTTTGAGTATTGCTTATCTCAAAGGCCAGTGCTTGTTTAGCATTTATATGCACGTTGTTCTTTCCTCAGACCTCTAATTTCAGTGTAGGGTTGAGCAGAAACAGAGCTTAGTTTCCCTCTCAAATCATTGGTGCTACACCTTTGAGCCAACAAGTAGGTTGCTGGTAACAGTACTTGGGGAAAAGGAAAGCTGTGGGTGAGAAGTTTCTTTAACGTGCTATCTCCCCTCACTCCTGTTCTCTCCAGTTTCTCAGGTATTCATGTATTTTCATTGTCAATCATAGTGTGCTTACCATTGCTTCTTAAATATAGAAGTCTTTGTTTTTATTTTATTTTATTTGTTTGTTTTTTGGAGACAGATTCTCACTCAGCTGCCCTGGGGTTGAATGCCATGGCATCATAGCTCATAGCAACCTCAAACTCTTGGGCTCAGGTGATTCTTTTGCCTCAGCCTCCTGAGTAGCTGGGACTACAGGCACCTGCCACAACGCCTGGCTATTTTTTAGAGATTGAGTCTCACTCTTGCTCGGGCTGGTCTCGAACTCCAGAGCTCAAGCAATTTGCCCACCTGGGCCTCCCAAAGTGCTGAGATTACAGGCATGAGCTACCACCACAGCCCTGAATATAGAATTCTTAATTATTTTTCCTTAGCATTTTGAAAATATGACTTATTATCTTGTGGCATCTCTTGTTGCTAATGAGATGTTTTGGCTGTTGGTCTAATTGTCTTCTTTGTTTTTCTCGGTAATCCCTCTTTGTTTGCTTTTAAGTTTTCTGGGCCAGCATGGTGGCTCACACCTGTTATCTCAGTGCTTTGGGATGTTGAAGGAGGATGACTAGGAGTTCAAGACCATCCTGGGCAACAAAGTGAGAAGCTGTCCTTACAAAAAATTTTAAAAACTAGCTGGGTATGGAAGTGTGTACCTGTGATCCTGGCTTCTTGGAAGGCTGAAGTAGAAGGATGTCTTGAGCCTAGAAGTTTGAGGTTACTGTGAGCAATCATCATGCCACTGTATTCCAACCTGGGCAACAGAGTGATGTTCTCTCCCTAAAACAAAGAAGATTTCCTTTAGTCTTAGATGTATGTTTTGATGATATTTGATCATGATGAATATGAGTTTGCAATTTTTTTTTTTTTTTTT